GTGTGTGTTACTGCTAGTAGGCCTATTTTTTTTTAATGGAGGTCTTACCAGGCAATCCTTTTTTCTTCTTTGCAAGTAATTATTGCTAATATAATAGTAGGCCCAATATCACTGTTGCTTGTAATGAATTCCAAATATTTCCCAAGGGAGTAAAGAAAAAGGCTCAGAGAGAACTGCTAGCAAACTTATCCTATCATAAATTGTGTTTTTATTAAATAGAAACATTTTGTAGGGAATGCTTTACTCTCTTTCATAGCCTGAAGAGTGGATGAGTAGAGAGTCAATTTCTGTTTCTACATCTCACTGGTATTGCTCATTAAGCAAATTATCTACATCTATTATTGAATTCAGGTTCCAAATAGATTCCTGGTCCCATATAGTATGCTTCTCTTAAAAAACATAAATCCAAAGAAGAGACGTCCAGACAGTGCCCAAGAAAATCTCCCACTATCAGATTATAAAAATGAGATTGTATAGCAGCAACCTTTGAGGGCAAAAGCAGTCCAGACCAGGGTGCAAGGGGTGTGGTGGTTGGGAAAAGGCTGAATCATTATGGATTTCATAGTCGTGTGCTTACAGTATTATGAATACAGGTAGCATGCTTTATATACCCACTGCAGACTTGTTCTAGGAATTGATATGAAATAGTTGTTAAAGTAAAAAAAAAAAAAATTAAAAATTTTAACAAGCACCTGCTATATTTTAGATATGCTATAAAGTGGTTTACATATAATTAGTGTAAGATAAGTGTAAGGATTCCACATCATCTCAGCATTCTTCACCTGAATCACCAATGAACTGCCCCCGTATCAAGCCCTCCCCCAGTCAACAAACGTCCTCATTGACACACACTTGCTGTCATCGAGTCAGGGTATTTGTTTGTCAATCTCTACTTGCAAATGGAGTGCAAAATAGAGTGGCCTGTACACCAGAGATTAAAGGGAGCTCTTGAGAAAATTGATGAAAGGCGACTCAAAGGCCAAAGATGCTCTAATCAAACTGCTCAAGCCAATCATGAAACAATGGATCCTTTACAGGAGAATGAGGGAAATATCAGGAGCCGCCGCCTTCTTTGTCCTGAGTGTCTGGTTGCGATTTTAATCTGCACGGCAGCTGATAGATCAAATAAGCCCTCTTGCGTGCTCTTTAGTTCCAGAAAATGTCCCATTTAGACATTTTATTATTTATTTAAAACAATTTAATTCCCATTTTAAATAGATTTACTTTTAAGTGGCATTTTCCCCAGCAGGAATAACCCTCGGCTAATAAGGACTTCCTGTATACTTAATTTTATTTTACAGAGGAGAAAATTTATGCTCAGAGGAGTTAAAGTACTCTCATGCAGTCACATCATTTACTGGCTGTTAATTTGAGAGAACTGCTTCCAAATAGGATTTTGATGCCAAGTCCAGGTTTCTTTTCACCAAACATCACTATTTTAATATTCTCTTTCTTTTATATTGTATATCAGATTTTTAAATATCTTTAATTTGGCAACAACCTCCACTGACCCCCTCCCCTCCCCTCCCCTCCCCTCCCCTTATCACATGAAAATCTACTTTCACCAAAACAATTCCTGCATCTCCATGCTCCTGCTGTTAGGGGTCCCTTGTACAATGATCCTTGTTGAGAGACAGTGTGGTTGAATAGTCCATCCAATCTGATGTTTGGAATCCCAGGTAGTATTTGACCACTGTCATTGGAGATGGCAGGCCTCCTTGTTATACGATCTATGTTCCATGCAGCTACATTTTTTTTTTTTTTTTTTAATATATCTTTATTGATTTCAAAGAGAGGAAAAGAGAGGGAGAGAGAGAAAGATCAATGATGAGAGAGTCATTGATTGAGCCCGCAACCAGGCATGTTCCCTGACTGGGAATCGAACCCTGATTGCCTGGATCCCAGGTCGATGCTCAACTGCTGAGCCATGCCCGGCTGGGCCATGCAGCTACATTTTATATTTACAACTTCAGGACTTGTGAAAGAGTATCTAATTTGAAGGGTACTTTCACTGATTATTTACACAACCAAATATCCCTGACTTTAAAAGAAAAAGGAACGTATTAAAAGATATCAAGTATCCCACAGAAACATTAGGGCCAGGGGTTACCTTTGAGACTCTTTTGCCTTTATTAGCAATTTTTAAACTGAACTTTAATATTAGATAATTAAATATAACATACTTCAAAATTTAGGGTTATTTTTAAAACCAAAAACCATATATATTCTTGGTAGTAATTGGCATTGTTTGAAAATCGTATCTTTGTGATTGGATAGCAAAAGGTAGAGAAATCCTATGGCTATGTTTTCAAGAAATGGTTTTAAGACTACATTATTTCAAAAATGTAAGAGCATTTTTTTTTTCTATGAATCCATTAGGCAGGTTCCCTCCACTCCTATGTCCAGGAGAAGATATCTCTCCCTTTAATGGAAATAAATAAAATAGTTCTAAAATAATGGCCATCCACATGCCATCAATTCAAGAACAAGCTTGGTTATTTGGTTATGAAGAAATAAAGCCTCTTTAGCTATGATAAAGGCAACTCTGCATTGTCATTATCCTTACAAAGGTGGATCTAGAACAGAATGCAGTTATGACAGTAAAGTAATGGGTATTTAGGTCAAGAAAATAAACATAAAGGTTATTATAATACTGAAGAGTATATAAGGAAGAATGAATATAAAATCTTGAGTCAAATGTGTTCATCGCCTGGCTGGTGTGGCTCAGCGGTTGAGCACCAACCTATTATCCAGGAGATTGAGGTTCGAGTCCCTGTCAGGGCACATGCCCAGATTTCTGACTCAATCCCCAGCAGGGGCCATGTAGGAGGCAGCCGATCAATGACTCTCATGATTGTTGTCTCTCTCTCTCTCTCCCTTCCTCTCTGAAATCAATAAAAATATCTTTTAAAAAGTGTTCATCAAGCAGGGATAACATTTCATTTGAATGAGGTGATGTCTGACCTATATGATTTGATTTGAGTGATGTTGGAAATAACATCTGTCCAAACACATTTCATTCAGTGCCCAAGGATGCAAATGGGTAGATTCTATTGTTGACCAAACCCACTTTATCTTTGACCCAATTTTATCAGCATCCAAAGTTTCTTTTACATCTTTTTGGTACTGTCCTTGCTGTCTTATCTGTGTCTACATAGCATTGTGACTAATACAGCATCCTCTGGATCAAAAGTCTGAGTTTGAATTCTGTTTTGAACTTACTAGTTTTTTGACCTTAGACAAGTGACTTACACTGTGCCTCAGTTCCCTTATCTATAATATGGAAATATAATAGAATGTCCTCTAGGATTATGATTATTAAATATTAATTGAATTAGTGTCTATAAAGTGCTATTACATATTTTATGATACCAGATATCCTGTAGATAATTTATGAACATATGAATTAAATGTTCAATTAGTGCTTAATATATATTAAACACCATGTTGGGACAGAAGCCCAAACCTCAAGGAATTTAGAATTCAGTGGTTAGAACTGCCTGTTTTTCTTCAAGGGACTTCTCAGAGAGCATTAGTTTACCACCAAATCTATAATAATGTTCCAGTGGCCAGTAAGATGTCAAGTCCACTGAAAGTGAGTCACCCTTGCTTGTATCTGAACTTGAGAACATCTGAGAATTGTTCCTACCCAGGGGCCTGGATTCTGCATGGAAGTAGAGTCATCACTAGCTTTCCAGTTCTCTTAAGATACAAATGTAGAACATTTGGAATTGACTAAACAATACCACTTTTAATAGCTTTACCAGCATTGCCTCAACCTATTCTTTCCCTGACTCTGTTCCAGCAGCCACACTGGCTGTGTCAGATCCTCAAACACATTCTCCTCCTTTCCATCTCATGACCTCCCCATGTGCTCTTTCTTCTGCATGGGACACTGTGTATCAGGTTGGCTTACACTACTTAAGGTTCTGCTTAAATTTCGACTGCTCAAGGAAGTCTTTTCTGATTTCATCCCAGAATGGGCTGCATCCCTCTAACATTCTCTAATAGAACCCTCCATCATTTCTTGAATATTTTGTCACAAATACATAATTCTATAACAATGGGAGGGCATTATACTCACAGATGTAATGGTAATGAAATTATATGCACATAGTACCTCATCAGTAAAAGAAGAGTAAAGAAGAGCGGGTGAGAGATATGGAGAGAAACACAGACACTTAAATTCCATCCACTATTCCCCTTAATGAGCTTATGACCTAATGCTTAGGAGTGGGCGCAAGTTGACATGGGAGCTCTGCTCTTTCCTCAGCTATTCTTATTAACCAATTTTCTTTCATTATGAAATGGAACACCAGAATTGGAACATGTTTTTTAAACAGCATGTCTCCACATAAGGCAACAATTTTATCTTGTGCTCAGTGGGAGAAAAAAAAAATGATTTTAAACCCTAGGACAATCAGCCATGTTGAATTAATTGAAAAAACTACTGGGGCCTTGGGATAGTACATTCCTAGGGAATTTTCTAGGGTAATTCAGATTGTGTGCAATTTTTAACCTTTCTTGCTAATTTAGATCTAACATATAAAGAAGGTGCGGCTGTCTCTATTTTTAATATTGGCAATGGTGGCCTAAAATATAAGTTCTATGAGGGTCGAAGGTGCACCTGGCAGTTTCATTACTGTATCCCTAGCACATAGCAGGACGCCTGGGTGATACTAGAGCTTAACAAATATTTGTTGAATGAATTAACATTCTGCTTGTGTTTACAGGATCAGTCTATTTGGAAACAATAGAGTTTGTACTCGGGGACACTGAAATAATAGCAGACAGCTTTCACATCCTAGCATCATGCAGACCTTAGATAACCTGTGTCTCTGTAGAAACCTAAATTAAAATGGCAGTGAAACTGAGAGCTGGACATGAGAGCTCAGTGTATTTTAATGAAGACTTACGTGTATAAGGCAACATCCTGTTTTTCAGTTTCCTTTCTAAGCCAAATTCTGCCCGAAATGCTGACATCTTCCTTAACATTTTAGGTCGCAGGAGCCGGACTCGATTTGTCACGCTGCCGACCCGAGGAGAAGGACGCCCGTGCCCCACGGAGCTCACGCAGCAGAAAACCTGCCCGGTGACCCCCTGCTACAGCTGGGTCCTCAGCAACTGGTCTGCATGTAAACTGGAGGTAGGTCGTGCGATGACACCTAGAGAAATGCTTCCCAATATGTCCAAAGCACATGTCTGGTCAAGCCTCCGTGCCGATGGAATAAATTTCACAGCAGCAGGGGCCTGGCACGATGTATTTCTATGCAATGGAGTCCATGGAAAAATACAATCAATGATGTAACTTCAAGCAGGGTGATACTGCTAGGAAAATACCTAGCCCTTCATCAGGCGCTGATTATAATGGGCCGGGTCACAGGCCTGTCAATCTCCTTGACGTCCTCAAGAATTCTGTTATTTCCCGGGCTTGTTGAAAATATCAAAATATTATTTAATTAGGCAAACCCCTGATGCTAGGGAAATGCACAGCATGCTAGAGAGTGTATTTGTTAAAGAGGCACATTTAGGCTTACACAAAATCCTGCGTATGGGCAGAAAACCAAGAGTATGAAAGTTATATTTTAACATTATCACACAAACCAAGGTTGCTACATTTTCCTCAACGATTACTTTTTTATTGGCCTGAAATATAAATGCCTAGAAACATCATAATAGATCATACCCAGAGCTTTTGCTGGATCAGCAAAGATCCTCACTGCATTTTCTCTCTGGCTTCCTGAGAGCACATTGATTTTTCTTATTTTCTTACTTTACTAGTTTCTTCTCCGGCTCATATTCCAAAGCTTATTTTAACTAGGTAACAATAATTTTGATTATGCACTAAGCAATATGCAGAGTATTCTTATAAAGATGCCTGGTGCTCCCGTCAGATGACACTGTCTTACAGCGTTATTATCCTGCAGAAATTAAACGCCCATGGATTGTAATAAGTCCCAGAGGAACAAAAATGTGTGGTACGGTTGTTCAGCCTCCTTTTAAAGGAAAATAAGGTAACCATGCTAAGTAATTCAGAACCAACCTAATGGCTTTAACTGTGAATACTTTGCCAGTCTGAAATCTGCTTTCCTAAACTCCTTCAGCAATTTTAAAATAATGCTTGGAATCCCAATTAAGAGAATGAAAGGAATATTTCTCCTTATAATTGCAAAAAATGTTCACAGAGTAGAGAAAATAAGCTCAAAGATTTCAAGAGCCCATTGCAGGGGGAGGGAGACAAAAGAAATTTCAGAAGGAGGGAGGGAGGGAGGGCTGACAACTCCATGCTCCAGGTCTTACCAGGAGCACAACTGTTCCTATACCTTACTAGCTCTGTTGTATTTCTCATTTCACCTTTTCTTTTTTTTGTTTTTTTTTATTATTGTTTAAAATATTACAAATGTCCCTTTTTCTCCCCATCATTTCACCTTTGCAGGTATCATGAGCCTTTCCTTTATTTTTTTAAGTAGACAAGTCCACCATCTTGTCCCATAGGAACATTATAGCGAGATGCCAAATGCAGTGTTTAATTTTGTTTTCTCTTGAGCTTCTGGCAGAACCACTGGGGCAAGGGTGGTGGGCTGTGAGCATTCTCTGTAGCAGTGCTGGTGAGAAAGGTGGCTCATGGCATCTTTTAGCAATACCCAGACTCCGAGGCCCTTGAGACCATAAGAGCAGGTATATCCAGAAACTTCAGAGCTTCTCAGATTCCTAGGTGAGGTTATTCCCACGGACAGACCTCACCCTGGCAAAGCCCTTAGGAAACAAGTCTAGTTAACTGCTCTGGCACCTTACCCCACAGGGCCAGACAGCATTCCTCCCTAGACGTGAGGAAGGGAACTGAAGCTGCTCAAAGATGCCATACTCAGGAACTCAGCTGCCACCCTGTAGGTAAAGCCAGTCACTCAGAAGCAAGAAAGAGTAAGCAGGAAACACAAAGAAAAGCAGAGGCAAAGAGAGAAAGGTGATCGTGATACTTGACTCTGCTTTTTCCTGAATTCAAATTGCATTTCCGCTTTTCCTGAAGCCTAATTGTGAACTCTCTGAGACAGAAAGCACAGTACCTTTTCAGTGAGTTGCCTTTTCTGAAATGTATATATGTAAGCTGAGGTTTTGGAATTACTTATCAAAATGCATGCGGGCCTTTGCCACAAATGAAAAATCCTCTCTCAACTTCAATTCTGTGTGGTCTTGTCCTATCGTAGCCTAACCAGCCAAATGCAGGTTTGGAACCTGCTCATTCACTGAGGGTCGTGATAGTAAAGTGGCTGATTGCCATTAAGTATCAAACCTGAATAAGAGAAGCTTGCACAGGCCACTGTCCATGTGCCAATTTTGCCCTTATATGGAAAGAGATCAGCAAACGAAAGTGTTTTTCTAACTCCAAGTTCCTCAGCTGATAACATGTGTCCACACATAGGTTGGTCAGTCTGTTTTAGGAGCTCAGACTCTGGTGTCTAGCAGGCCTAATTTTGATCAATGTTCTGCCAGTTCCTAGCTCTGCAATTTTTGCAAAGTCTCTCAACTCTCCAAGCCTGTTTTTAAATCTGTATCATGGGGGTAGCAATAGTACAAATTTTGCTGGAGATATATGGTAGGTATTAGACAATTCATATACAGTGCTTAGCGTAGTATGTGGCAAAAAGAGCTCATAAATTATAATTGCTATTATAGTTTTGATTAAAACTATAATTATGATTACTAGCACCATCTGCCTATCCACATCTGGTGATGCCAATCAAGAGTATACAAAAAGTCCATTAATGATCTGGACAGTGGCGAGTTAATGAGAGAATCCTTGCTGTTTTCAGGCCCCCGTGTGTAGATCTCAGGAGTGAGTATGAGCAAATGCTTGCTTTATGAGTGATATTATCATTGTGATGCTGATTTTTCATATTGTGGCTGCTGTTGTCAGAGGTGTGAGATTAAGGTTGAACACGGTTACATACTAGGAGCATATTATAGTTTGTCTTGGTTTTTAAATAGGCCCCTGATGCAGACTTGTTTCCTGCCATTTCCTTATACTCCATCTCCTGGAATGTCAAACAAAACTTGAATCAATTGCATCTTCTGTTACTGAGGTTCCAGATGGCAGTGTTTTCAAATGTCATACCTGCCCCTGGATCTTCAGGCTCCTCTCCAAGTCCACAAAGTCTGATACTCTACAGCAAAATGTACGCCTTAGACAATTCTTAGATCCCTCTTATAGAATAAGTTATAAGAGCGAATCCTACCCCAAAATGAAAGTTAACTTACACTAGTTATTTCTACTTCAGGGAGTAAACATTTACTATGGCATTTGCTTTGAATCTCCACTTATCTTTTAAAAAATGCACTTAGGTTCAAAATTAGGGTGTACTTTTTGACAATTTCACAACAGCTATAGAAAGGATTAGAGCAATGTGACGTATTGATGAGTCCAGTGTGGGGACTGCCATCTTAGATAAAATCATAATTCCTGTTAAAACAGCTCTGGAAGAAGATGTGAGGATCCCAGTTTATGTGCCTCCGCAGGTTCTTTAGGTTTTAAGTTCCTACAAGTTGCCTCCTTTCTTTTTGCCAGTATGTCTTTGATTTCTAGCTTCCTTACATAAGGACTTTGTCCTGGCAGTCCCCGTGGACCGTCCTGCACCTCCAGTGCTCTATCTACAGCCTGCCCTTGACACGAAGTAGCTGTGGCCACTGTGCCTCGACCTGGGGGGTGCTCAGCGGACCCACCAGCCCCCAGGTCGCCTGTTGCATGTCCTGACTGCTTTAGCTGCCCACCTTGGTATTTGTTACTCCTGCCACTGCAAGAGCCACGGTGACCCCAAGGCCTAGGCCATGCAGCGTCCGAGTCCTGGGGTGGAGAAGGGATAAAGGAGATGAAATGCAGTTTCCCAGGGCAGAGCAGTCGCCACATTGTTGTTACCTAAGACTGCATCAGTGGGCTGCAGCCTGCAGGAGGAGAGGGGTGAAGGCTCGGGCACTTCTCCCTCCATCCCGCCCCCGCCATCCCAGCAGGAGTCATAAAGGCTCTAGTTCTTCCACCTCCTAGACTTAGGGGGAACTGAGCAGCACACCTCGGAAGCAGAGCCGTTAATACTCCCTGGGATGAAAGGTCATCCATGAGAAGAGGGCCCAGGAGGGAAGTGGCCTGTAACTGCCTCTCCCCGGCCCGTCACGGGTGGGCCTGAGCACGGTGCTGCCCGGTGGCCTGCCTGAAGGCAGCTGTGTGGACTGGGGGAGCTGAGGCCCGCTTGCTAACGCTGCCTTCTGTTTCCTTTTGTTCCTACTAGTTCTTTTACCCTCACTGTTGCCACCCTGGGATTTCACCTCTGTAGCAGAAAAGCTTGCCTTAGGCTCTGTTGTTTTGTGTGTTTTTTTAACTATATCTTTATTGATTTCGGAGAGAGAGAGACAGAAACATCAATGATGAGAGAGTCATTGATCGAGCCCACAACCCGGGCATGTGCCCTGACCGGGAATCGAACAGCGATCGCCTGGATCCTAGGTCGATGCTCAACCGCTGAGCTACTCCCGGCCGGGCACCTTAGGCTCTGTTTTATGAGCTATTTGCGTAAAAACAGAGCTATCATCAAAAGTTATTGAAATATCCCTGGTCAGTGCTCTCAGTGGTTAGAGCATCGGCCCACAGACAGAAGGATCACAGGTTTGATTCCCGGTCAAGGGCATGTACCTGGGTTGCGAGTTTGACCCTGGGCCCTTGTTGGGGTGCGTATGGAAGACAACCAATGGAAAAATATCCTCAGGTGGGGATTAAAACAAAGTTCTTGAAATACCCAATGGAATTCTTTTCTAAAACTGAGGAAAGAATGCTCATGAGTATATGACAAAAGTGTTCCAGTAGGAAACCTTTCATCAGGCAGATACTTCGGCCAGATACCCACTAAGCCTTTCAATTCTGAGCTGCTGTTTCTGTGCAACATTGTGCAAAATTTTTCTAATTGCCAGGAATAATCTGAGTGGGCTTTGTAAATATCTTCAAAGAACATTATTCATCACAGAAGGCATGCTGGGAAAACAACTCTTGGCAATAGAGAAAATCAGTGTTGCACTGGAAACCCCAACCTAATCCATAGGAGAAAGGACTGAGTTCCCCATGAGAGAGAACAAGCAGAGTAAAAGAGAAACCTGTGCCCTGTGGCTGTGCTTGCTCTCCTGGGGGAGTGATTATAGATTAGGCCACTTTATCACGTACACCTAGACAAATTATGTATTGTTTTTCTTTTTCAGTCAACTCTGGCTGAATTCCAAAATGAATGGTCATATTCTGAGAACAGAAACTCCATGGCATAAATTTGCATTTCTTCAGCTTCTCCGTTAGCTCTCGAAGAATTGCTTAGCAATGCTTTATTGTCAAGAATTGAAAGACTGCTTTTGCCAAAAAAAAAAACAAAAAATTGAAAGAACTCCCAAGAGGAGAAACCTGCTGAATTATACAACTAGGGTTTACTTTTTGAACAAGAGGTAGCAGGAGCCAAAACTCTGAGACACTAATTATTCGAGTGATTCTGACAGTGTCCTTTCCACTCCCAGGGTGGAGAATGTGGGGAAGGCGTCCAGATCCGCAGCCTTTCCTGTGTGGTCCACAATGGCTCTGTCTCTAGCTCTGCGGTACGTGTGGACGATGCCCAGTGCGAAGAAACGCCCTTGCAAGATGGCACCCTGAAGCAGCCGTGTGCTGTGCCCTGCCCAGGTACGCAGTCTGAACCATCGGGAGTGCCTTACGGGGTGATCTTAATGACTTTGTATTAGCTTTTCTGAAGAAGCTCTATCTAGCCAAAATTGATGTTTTTAATTAACTTTAATTCATTTTCAATTGTGGTTATCTTTGGAATGTACTGACAATGGAGGCAAGAGGGAAAAACCACCACCCTGGACTTGGAAATTTAAGAGCTAACTTAGAATTCTGTCTCTGTCACTTCCCTGGTGTTTTACCTGGGGCATATGGTCTCACCCCCTTAAGCAATGGCTGCTCCATCTAGAAAATGTGTTTAATACCTGACCTGACAGCACTTGGCATGTTGGCCAGTACTCCAAAAATGTTGGCTGAATCCATGAGTGGAGGCACCTTGGTGAGATGGCATGGTAGAGACAAGTGAAGCTATATGTTGATGAAAGCCCTCTGTCAAACGGTCATGTTCTATGTAACTGAAGGTCATTAGTATAAAATTTTATTTACTATAAAATGTATGAGTTTATTTTAATTCTAATAACTTAGGATTTATGACATAAGTTTACGGTGGCTTAATATATCCTTGTAGTATGGAATGTAAAATATACACACAAATGTGTATGTTTAGTTTTTTAAATTCAACATTCTTTAGGCCAAAAATAGCCACTTTAATGACCAACTTATTCTCTTCATCTAGTTTCCGTGAACAGCAATTTTATGATGTTACGCTGCTCTTTGAAAACAGTTTATCACTGGCAGACACACAGTGTTGTCCAGATATGACTGATTTGAAGCAAAGTAATGCCACTCTCTTCCTAAACTAGACTAAACCATAAGTTAAGTCATCAGCCTTAGTGCTTTCTAATTGGAATGTTGGTCCAAGTAGAATGTCTGGTATGTGGAGCCCACCCCCATCACAGTGCCACCACCAGCACGATTCTCACTGTGAACCCTGTCTACGCAAATGTCGCCAAGTCCAGTTTCCATGTTTCCCCCGCTCTGTATGGTATGACACTCCAGGAGACTGCCACTTAACGGAATGGTCAGAGTGGAGCACATGCGAATTAACCTGCATCGATGGAAGAAGCTTTGAGACAATGGGCCGCCAATCTAGGTCAAGGACATTTATAATTCAGTCTTTTGAAAACCAAGACACCTGCCCGCAGCAGGTCCTGGAAACACGTCCTTGTACAGGTACCAAGAGCACTTTTCAGTTCTCTGCTTGATTGACTCAGCTTACTCTTCCTCTATGTCAGGTATAATAGAACCACTGTTATCATATTTGCTTGCAGGAGGCAAATGTTTTCACTACACATGGAAAGCAAGTCTTTGGAACAATAATGAACGAACTGTATGGTGCCAACGTTCAGATGGCATTAATGTCACAGGTATTGCTACCTCAGATTCATGTGGGTACTTCCAAAAGATCTCTGAATGTTGCTGTTAGTGAGGAGAATTAGCTTACAAATTATAAGCAGGAAAGACTGGACAGATGGCCTTAGATGATCTTGTCAAACTGTCACTAGACCTTCGCATCTCGGAAAGCAAACGATTTTATTGGAAGACTCATATCAGATAAGCTGAAACACAACAAATTTTTCTTAAATATCATGATCTGAGACAGACAAAAACAGACAGATGATAGCTTAAAACAATGGTCTCTAAAATTTTAAACCATGTATCTTCTTAGTAAAAAGTTTTTGAGGACTTATATTATTAAAACATACAGAGAATGAAATTGAAGGGTTTATTAGGATATACAAAAATTTTTGCTGAAAATTCTAGATACTTATATTCAATCACTGGAAGCTTAGTTTTTTGAGATTGTGCTGGTCATGATTACTATTTAATATCTAAATTTTGACTGAGGGAACCGTTCATTCATGATGATGGATACAATTTGGTCTACAAATAGTGTTCTCAATCATTTTAAAGGGTTTTTTATGCCTTCTTATCAGAAGAAATTAAATTGCCATCATTTTTACTTAGTACTTAGTGTAGAGAGAATTTCTATTCTATAGGAACAGAACGGTCTGCTCTGCCTTTTCCTTGTGTATTTGTTTTGCATTGTTGGTATTGCCTTTAACCCACAGTTCATTCATAGTCATTTATTTTAAGCTACTTGTACATTTCATCAGTTATTGTTATCAAGCTGACCAGGAACACAAAGTATCATACATACTCTGCAATAGGATGAGAATTAGAGTGGCACTGGTTGCATTACGCATTCTCTACACAGGGTGCTTCATGCACAAAGTACACATGGGCATCTGATGAAAGAGCTCAGGTTACTAGTATCGTCTGCTAAGTGTTATTAGAGCTTAATTTCATTCTTAAAACAAACAAAAGTGTTGTATAAACTATATAAATTCAAATATTTTTCTTCTGAGTTCCCAAGAGATCCCCTCCTGCAGGGGCTCCCACACTGCACTTTGGACATCGCTGGTTTAAAGAGTAGAAATCACCCCTCCAAACACAACTGGTCGCAACTGGACTGTGTGGTTATTTCCACTAATGCCCAAATTAATAACTTCACACCAAAGTGCTAATTCCGGGGTGTGGTTTTGTGTGGGTTATTTTCTTTTCCAATAACAGTGAGGATATAGCTGCTTCTCAAGGAAACTGTAGCTCTGACTGTTCTCTACACTGCCTTATGCCCAAGGCTTTTGCCGGCTACAAAATCAAACTATAACTGGTTGACAGTTATAGTAAGGCAAAGGCTACAGTCTATAAATGCAGCCAATATTATAAATAAGGTTTAAATACAGCCCTCAAATATTATACGATTTCCTTTCTTAGTACTTGGAATCCAGGAAGGCAAGACTAATATGCAGGTGATTATAGAGGCATGCATTATTCTACCCTCTAACTCAAAAATATTTAATGAGTACTGTGTCAGATGTATGATTGCCCCTCCTGGGGCCTCTACATTTATTCTTAAAAATAAGTATGTGGGGTCAGAGGGTGTATGTGTGTGTCTGTATCCTGATTGAAGTATGTTGCCAAAGTGTTTGATATTCTGGTCCCATAAGTTGATTAGTGGCCTTCTTTTAGCATTTGCTTATTGGGAATTGGCTTGGTACCTAGCTGGGGTATTCCAGAACTGGAGAAAAACATATGTAGAAAAATTCTGGAGCAGATCCATTTTATGCTCCTGAACTTAAATTGAGATTTCACCGGTTCTTTTACTAATGCTGGCACTCATAGACTTCACCCTCAAGCATAGCCACATGATAGAATCACATTGCCAGTAGCAGGTATAAAAATATCTCCTATAAATAGCTTCTGTTAGCAGAGCCTCCCAGCTCAAACAATCCATCCTGGGGTAATCAATAAAATAGACTGGGCCACGTGTCAGCAAACAGAAAAAAACAATAATACTGTTACAAAGTGGCCAGTGCCAGAGAGAGGAAAAAATGTTTTTTAAAGTTTATCATAGAAAAATCTGCAAATGATGGTGGGATTTCCTTTGTAGGCGGCTGCTCCCCTCAGGCACGCCCTGCTGCAATTCGGCAGTGTAACCCAGCCTGCAGAAAACCTTTCTCCTACTGTACACAGGTGAGTCCTGGGCTGGAGATGCCCACAGGTATTTTAATTGCTGTGCTAGCCACGTGCTGCTAGATGTCTTCCAGTCAGCCAGAGCCAAGCAGCAGTTTATGTGCCCACGATACCATCTAGAGGCACTTGCAGGAAGAATCGCAGCTATTAAGAATTTCTTTGCAGGGACATGTGTTAAGGCAAGCAGTCTTTTTTCTATAACTCTATCAGATATCTAATATATATTAGCTCTATTTATCAATAAATATTCTCCATTGATTTATTCTTTGCCTTTCATCTGCCTAAATTATTTTGAAAGTTATTATAAATGCATGTTCCTATTTGTTCAATGTTATTTAGTAAGTACTATAAATACTGTAGTCTAAGTTTGTACTTTATTTTAAGTTAAATAAATGCCTATGGATAAAATTTATATGNAATGTTATTTAGTAAGTACTATAAATACTGTAGTCTAAGTTTGTACTTTAAGTTAAATAAATGCCTATGGATAAAATTTATATGTAGGTATATATATGTGTGTGTGTGTGTGTGTGTGTGTGTGTGTGTGTGTGTATATATATATATTTTTTAAAAGCAGAAATTTCCTTCCTGTTCTCCCTCAACTCCCATCTACCAATGCTCAGGAATTAATGCAAAATGCGCAATGTATTCTAATCAATGGCACTTGAATGTGCAGTGCATATATAATTTTTCAAAAAGTTATGTCATGTTCCTTAAACAGGTCTCTTCTCAGACACATGTGCCTCTGGTGGTCCTCCCCGCCCCCTTGGGCTGCCCTCACTGGGCGCAGAAACAAGCCTCCAAGCAGGGAGGCAGTTCAGACCAGTTACTGACCAATGGTAGCAGGTGAGAGGCATTCAGCAGCTGGGGCAGCAACAGAGCTCAAAGCGCACAGAACTCAGAGAAGATATGTACGTAATTCCCATGGCTTCGCTCCTCAGTATCAAGAGCAGGTTGGAGTGAGTGGGCAGGAATCTGGACCAGCCAGCAGCAAGAGTTGAGGATATTAAATGCCTTAAGCATCTCTACCAGAGAGAGAATGATGTAGCTAATACCCTCTGTTGCCCGAGAATTGCGATTTCATATTTGGAAGGTGTAAGAATTGTAAGCCACTCGAAAAAGCTGATGATTTATTTAGGGTTGACTCTGGAACTCAGAAAGATGAACTACTTATTGAATTTTCATCCCTTTGGCAAGTCTGTTGCTGAAAAACCTGAAATTGCCATGACATGCAAGTATCAAGTGAGTCCAACATTTAAATTCTTTTTCATCTACACAGCTCAGTGTGTAAGCATAAAAATGTTTTGTATGCTGTAGGGCGGAGTCTGTGGCTGTGAGAAAGGTTATACAGAGATAATGAGGTCGAGTGGTTTTCTGGATTACTGCATGAAAGTTCCTGGCTCAGAAGATAAAAAAGCTCATGTGAAAAACCTTGCTGGGAAAAACAGACCTGTGAATTCAAGGATACATGATATTTTTAAAGGATGGTCTCTTCAGCCCTTTGATCCAGGTACGTTTCAGTTATGTGTTAAGAAAGGTAAATCTTACAGGGGATTAGGAGTCATAGTATGAACAATGATCATGACTGAAAAAACGGGGAAAGAGAAGAGACAATATAATGTACGATCACTTTTAAATGTAAAATTTTTCATAGATTGAGGATAAATTTCTTCACCCAAGTCTAAGAGACATTGAAATAACCAAAATATTAACCTTTAAAAATGTTTTAATTGCTCATTACCTCTGCAGCAGTGTATACTTTTACAACTGTGAATTTGTGTGTATAATTTAAATTAAAAGCAGAACGTGGAAGGAAGTGTCCGAGGACCCTATCTGGCGTGAGAAACACTGGTGAAACCATGGAAAACATGTTTCAAAGGCGGACAGGCCTTGTTGACATCACGGCTCAGAGTGTGCCTGTTTTGTCACTGAGTGTACCTGTTTCCTCATCGACGAGATCAATCTAGAGACACCTACCCTGGACTGTTGTGGGTATTAGCACAGTGTCAGCGCTCAGGAATCGCTGGTTATAAGGAACAAGAATGAACATCTATTAGATGCTTTCTGTACAGCCTGTGGCTCTGTGATTGTTGTATTGCAGGAACCTTCTCATTATGTTCTTGCAACCTAATGAGATGCTATTATTCACACTTTAGAGATTAGGAGTCTGAAGCTGCCCACATAAATTAATTTTACCAAAGACACACCACTAGGAAGTGAAAGGCAGGTCGTTAAGGCCTTCACGTAGCACTGGTCTCTGCTTCCCACCTTGTAAAGTGCGCAGAAAACAAAAGCAAGGTACTATCACCCATACCCCTTCTACTAATAAGGACTGAGCAAAGTGGCACAGGGGACGGGGCAGAGACAGGGAAGAAACAGACAAAGCTCAGGCACAATACACCCTGGGAACTTCCCTTCTATATCCTAGGCCTTTGCTGGCCCAAAGGTGCCTTGATGAGCTTAGATGAAGCAATAAACCAGAGCCCAGCCCCAGCGACCCTTAGATCTTGTGGGAGAAACAAGATGTACACTCCTCAGCCAACTTTTAAGGATGACCACAGTGTTTCATTCATTTTTGACTCCCCTGTATGACTGGGCATGCCATAAACGTTTAAGAACATCTTATGTTGTCACTAAGTTAGCTTACCTGTTGCTTGTAGACCATATTTCAGAAGAGAATTAAGGTGAGGTTCCAGGGAAATGAGTCTTCAAATCCACAAACGAGCTCCTAAAACTTTGGGGGTCTAATTAAAGCATCAATAATATGTATGCAAATATATATGTATGTGTATATATGCATACATATATACACTAGCGTGTATATACATATATGTATGTATATAAGCACATATATATATATATTTAGTCTGGGAAAAGAGGTTATAAATTGTCTTCACGATGAGAGTATATATTGGCTCAACTTCTAGGAGGGCATCTAGGCAATATAGCTCATACATTATGGCATGATATTTCTAATCTTAGCAATTCAGCATACAAATATATACACATACACTAAAATAAATATGTGAATGCTATTCATTACATGGTTGCTTGTTATATGGCAAATGAGTAGAAACAACAAATGTGTATAAATAGAATAATGAAAAAAATGCAATTATAGATATTAAAAAGAATGAAAATATTTCTAAGATTTTTAAGTTAAAAGAAGTACAAATGCAAGGAAATGATATGCATCATGTTTGTGTATACATATGCTTGCATATGCAGGGACAACTGTGAAATGACTCACTAGGAAATGTAACAGTGAGAGACAGGATAAGACGACTTTTTTCATTTTTCACTGCATATCTTTTTTACAGTTTGAAATTTTGCCCTATCCATTATGTTATTCTAAAGTGTTATATTAATTCTTTTTTAACACACTTAAAGGTCATTGACCACATACATCTCTACTGGGGATTTAAAAGCACTGGATTCTTCCAATACTTCAACTCTGTTAGGCTTAGGGACAGTAAGATTAAAGGTGCATTCTCACTGAGGGAAGACTTTTTAAAATTATCAATGTAAAAAACTCAGACTAGGGGATTGATTCATTAATGTTTCAAAGAGATCAAAAACTATGTAAAAAGACTTTTGTCCATAGAAAAATATTACTGCATTGAAAACTCATCCTAAAACCTAATTGAGGCTTGAAAATGTGGGGTAAGCAAGAACTGTTACAGGTGGTCATAATGTAATTAAATGTAACACTGATTTTATTTCAAAGGGGTATTGTTTACAACAGATTTTGATTGCTTTATCCCATGCAAACATTTAGAGTAAGATGCTAATATCTGTTTTTTAGACCTGCAGTTGATTATATTCACATAGTATAATGAACCATCTGTGTGTATATATCTTTCAGAAAGGAATACAGTTCCATTGTCAGTCCAATTCTTTAACTATATGCTCACAGAAAATTGAGCAAAAAAATGCTAGAGTTCCAGAAACAAGTCTATGTATAGAAAAAACATGCATACACTTAAGTTATACCTTATATAGTAGAAGTCACAAAATTGAGCAGACTGTTTGGTGAATCTATTTTTCTTTAACTCTAGCAAATATAAAATCCAAAATAATGTATATTTGTTCACATATGGTTATAATTTTATATTAATTTGGTAAATAGATTAGCTCATTTGGTCGTAACTTTTTGTCTACTTGACATTATTCAGGAAGCAAAGTCACCAAAAATAGGCCTAGTAATTCTTTTTGGATCCAGGATTATTTCTTAAATAGAACAAGGGAATAAATTATAATTGTGTGGTCAAGATGTTTTACAGCATTTTTGTGGTACATGTATAAGCTTGCCAGTTGTTAGATTATATGAAGTGATGATTGTCTGTCTGTCTAGCACTGTGAAATTTCTGAGAGACTACCTAACATTTGATAGCTGTCACAATTGAGTGTTCGTGATTTATGCTAGACTCAGAATTCAGATGAGAAATATTTTGTATGCTGTTTGTTGTTTTGTCTCTATTTTAAACAGATGGCCGAGTAAAAACTTGGGTTTATGGTGTTTCCGGTGGTGGTTTTCTTATCATGATTTTCCTCGTATTTACTTCCTACCTTGTTTGGTAAGTACTAAGTATTAGTTTACACCCCATATTTTCATGGGTGGCTTGTTATACTAAGTGGAACCATGTCAGGATCATTATCTTTATCCTCAGCTGAAATATTCTTTTATATGATTTTCAAATAACATCAGAAGGTACATGAGGCTGAACATTGATCAAGACTTTTCCCTTTTAGTATTTTGATGTTTATCAGTAGTTTTCAGCTTGGTGGCTGTTTTTTTCACTGGCATCTCCTGGCACCTCCACAGGACTGATACTTGGGTCTCAGCCCAGGAGATTTCTGATGTAATGAGTCTTATATGGAGCCAGGTCATCTAGATGTTTAAAAGGACCCCAAGTAATTTTCATACGCAGCCAAAGCTGAGAACCATTATTCTAAATAATTCTAGTTCTGAAGTTTTGCTCTTAAATTTTTCTATTAGAAAAACTTAGGATGGCACCTTCTAATTTCACAAGGAGTCATCTGCTTCCCTGGTTTACTCCTCATGTCCCATTCATCTAGATGACTTTTTTATCAGTAGGTATCGGCATTCCACCAGTTCTTCCCAGTAAAGCTCAAATGTCAACATTTCCTTATCAAACACTCGAGAATAACTTGTCCATGCCTCCTCCCCTGTGGCATTTACCCCCTGCTGGTGGTGTAATTATCTGTACAAACATCTTCCTCCTCTAGTGGGAGGGAAGGGCAGAGGTATAACTACTATATTTGATTGATATATTTTTCAGAGCACTAGTTTGATAAATATGTATTGAATAAATGAGTAGATAAGTAAAACAAATAAGGTGCTGCCTAAAGAGATTTTAGGGTTACTCAACAAAAAAACTCTGGAGACGGGCAGACCCGTGGAAAAAGCATAGCCTCTGGGGTTAGGCAAACCCAGAATAGATTTTACTAGGCTGATGACCTCAGGTGTAGTATTTGACTTTTCTGAGGATCATTTACTCTTTAAAATGAGGGTGGCTCGGTCCCCAGCAGGGGGCATGCAGGAGGCGGCTGATCAATGACTCTCATCATTGATGTTTCTCTCTCTCTCCCCCTCTTTCTTCCTCTCTCTGAAATCAATAAAAATATATATTTAAAATAAAATGAGGGTGATAATAGCAACATCTCATTGCCTTATTGTGTCCTCATGATAATCTAATCTATGTAAAGTACTTTGACATAAATATTAGGCATTTTTATGACAGTGCAGTTTACCACTTTTGCATGTTTTAGACTCTCCTTGTTTTCCAATTAAATTAAGCGTCAGACCTGGGAAAAGATCTAATTGATATCAAAACACATAGCATATACCCTTACTAACCAGCTTTCTCAGGATTTCAAATAGATACTATCACAGCATATGCTTCTATTAAATAGCTTGCAAAAGATTTAGAGGAGGATAGTTTGAGATTTTTTTTTTTCCCCCCCAAAATAAAATGCTTAAGACAACTGCTATAATATGCCAGGTCTTAGATGTGTACTTTAGAGGAACACAATTTATAATACAATTTGGAAATGGTTTTTGGGGGTTTTTTAAAAAATATATCTTTATTGATTTGAGAGAGTGGGAAGGAGAGGGAGAAACATCAATGATGAGAGAGTCATTGATTGGCTGTGTCCTGGCCAATCCCTGACTGGGGATTGAGCCCGCAACCCGGGCATGTGCCCTGACCGGGAATCAAACCCTGATCGCCTGGATCCTAGGTCAATGCTCAACCACTGAGCCACGCCCGGCTGGGCTAGAAATGTTTTTGAGAAAATATAGAAAAATAGCCTTCTTAAAGATCACTTTATTCAAATACCACTGTGTACTTCTGCCATTAGTGTTTGAAGTTTTTGAAATATTGCTGATGTTCCAGCTACCCTGGCAATAAAGGTCTGTGAGGCAGTTAATGGGGGCGACCACTAGGCGAGCTTGTAGTTAATCTAGACTTAGTGCTTGGACGTCACTCTAGATAATGACATCCATTCCGCCTTGCTCAGCACAGCTCAGTAAATGGGCACTTACTCTGCTGAAGTTTGAGAGTGCTGCTCCCACTTCCAGAGGGCCAGCCCTTGGGAATAAATACCTAAACAACAGACAGTTCTCCGCTTTCATCAAACCATTTAATCTCCGCTGGCCTGGTGATGAGTCCTTGTGGCTTGAATTCAACAGTGCTAAGAAGTGCTCACAGCTTGCCTGTCAGTTCATAATGAGCTTACTTTTCTGGCTGAGTGGGTTTGTACTTTACTAAGATGCAAATGATAGTGGAAGAGGTCACTTTAAAATGTATCAGTCGATGATCCCTTACAGCCAGGGCTGCATGATGGATACTGATGACTGGTGGTGGTCTATGTGCCCGGCGCTTGTGGGTCCTGCTTTAGTGTGAGTGAGGTGATCAGACCTTTTCTGATGCCAAAATTCAGGTGAAATATGTATAGAAGTAAAGTTTAGTTGTAAGGGAGAAAGGAAAGAGAGCAGGGCCTCCAGAGACTGTCTCCTGAGGAATTTGGGTCAGGATGGCAGAGTAGGTAAATGCTGTGCTCACATCATCCCATGACCACCTCAGAATTACAACTAAATTATAGAACAACCATCATTGATAATCACCTGAAGACTAGATTAGCTAAACAGAAGTCCTATAACTAAAAATATTAAGATGCCACATCGAGACTGGCCTGAACCTCTTTCAGCGGCTTTTTCACACAAGCAGACTGTCTCAACATGTGCTAATGACTTCCCTAAAATCTCTCAAAGTCCACAAACCCCAAAAAAGCTGCAGCTGGCCTTGGTATGTAATGTACCTCTTGTGAAATGGACTTCATATTAGTGGCAGCCTTCTTCGGTTTACAGCATAGCACCTCTCAGGCACCTCTAAGCCCAGCACAGATGGCAATCAACCACAGGTCACTTTTTAGCTCCTACCACATGGCCCCAGGCTGTGCACATGCCACAGCTGACCTTGGCCTATACTAGAGCCCCTCTCAAGAAATCCCAGAACCAACACACCCAGTATCCAACTTCAGACCACACCAGAGCACCATGCAACTAGCTCCACAAATGACACACCAAAGAATGGACTCGGCAGGCACCAGAACCCTGCTAAAGCAATTCCATCTCCATGGGGTTATCCTTGCATAGCACCTTGTCCACTGTCATCTTGGCCAGTCCTCACAGCTAGTTAGCATGAGGGCCAATCCCACCCCTTGACATGTAAACAGCAATCAAGGCTGAACTACAGCAGGAGAATACACACAAGGAACAACCCTGGAACCTCTGACTCAGGTGACCCGGGAGAAGGTGCCACTGGCATCCACAGGACACCTACTACAAAAGGCCACTCTGCCAAGACTGGGAGATGCAGCAGATCTACCTAATGCATAGAAACAAACAGGGAGGCAGCCAAAATGAGGAAACAAACATGTCCCAAGTGAAAAAAACCTAAATGAAATCGAGTTAAGCAATCTACTAGAAATATAACTTAAAACACTGGTTATAAGGATGCTCAATGAACTTAGGGAAAGAATAGAAAAACTCAGTGGAAAGTTCAACAAAAAGAGAAACCATGAAAAAAAAAAACAGTCGGGAATGAAAACTATATTAACTGAAATGAAGAATACCTTAGAGGGAGTTGGCAGCAGATTAGATGAAGCAGAGGATTAAATCGGTGATTTGGAAGGAAGACAAGGTAGCATAAAACAACCAGCACAGCAAAAAGAAAAAGAAATTTTAAAAAATTAAGACAGTTTAAAGGATTGCTGTGATACCATGGAGAAAACCAAAATTCACATCATGTGGTACCAGGAGGAGAAGAGTAAAGGACTGTAAACCTATTTGAAGATATAATGACTGGAAACTTCCTTAACCAGGCAAAGAAAACATACATACAAGTCCAGGAAGCAAGAGCGTCCCAAACAAGATGAACCCAAAAGAGGCCCACAGTAAGACACATCATAATTAAAATGCCAACAGTTAAAAACAGAAAAATTTAAAAACAAGAGAAAAGCAGTCCGTTACATACTTCCATAAGAATATTCGCTATTTTCCCAACAGAAACTTTGTAGGCCACAAGAGATTTGCCTTTCATCACTGAATATTTTATGCCAAAGACCTAGATCCAAGGTCACTCTACCCAGCAAAGCTCTCATTAGAGTTGAAGGAGAAAGAGTTTCCCAGGAAAGTTAAAGCCAAAGTAGTTCATCACCACTAAACCAGTATTATAAGAAATGATAAAGGCACTTCTTTAAGAAGAAAAGATCAAAATATAAGAAAGAAAATAGGAAAGAAAAAATGTTCACTTAAAAGGCAAACAATAAAAACAGTGGATCAACCAACTATAAAGCTAATACAAAGGTTAAAAGACAAAAGTAGGAAGACTATGTAAAATTACAACAATAAATTAAAGAATACACAAAAACACATACCAAAGAAGTGAAAAAATGATGAAAACAAAGGTGGGGGGGTGAGTAAAACTTGTAGTGATTTTCACATGTTTTTCAACATAAGAAACCATCATTTTAAAATAGCTATAAATGTATGTTGGTATAACTGAGGCACATGGTAACAACAAACCAAAAATTTACAAATGATTCACAAGAAAGGAATCCAAACACAACACTTAAAAAGTTATCAACATACAAAAGAGAGGAGAATAAAAATAAGAAAGCAACAGAGAAGTACTACAAAAACAATTAGATGGCAATAACCACATACCTATCAATAATTACTTTAAATGTAAATGGACTAAATGCTCCAACCAAAAGACTTAGGGTGGCTGAATGGATCAAGAATGAGACCTATATATAGACTGCCTAACAAGAGGCCCATTTCAGATTAAAAGACACAAACAGACTGAAAGAGATGGAAAAAGATATTTCATGCAAATGGAAATTTTCAAAAAGCTGGGGTAGCAATATGTATATCAGACTAAATAGACTTTAAAAGTAGGCTATAGCAAGAGACAAAGGACGTTTTATAATGATAAAGGGATCAATCTAATAAGAGATAACTATTGTAAACATCTATGCACCCAGTGTA